CAACTACAAGAGTGAAGTAAGTGAAACCAAAGCGGACGTTTCGGTTTCTCTTCATAGATGCTGGCTCCGCAGTAGTCTGTCTACATGGGAATCAAAGAGAAAATTCCCAATGTGTACATTACATTTCTTCCTCATTTGTGTTTTCAACCTATCAAACTAAATGTGCATCAAGACTTACATGCCATGTTATCAGAGTCAAATCTTCACCCTCTAAAGTCATACTGCTGCAGAAGCACCAATATAGATCACACCTACAGCAGCTCAGTGACCCAAAGGTTGGTGGAAAAACGGTAGCTCCAAAACAAAAAGCAACTTTTGTGTCCCAACTGGAAATAAACAACAGCAGATTTGACAAAATCTACAAATTTTAGCCTTTTGTTTTTACATAACTAATGCAGAGAATGTCCTGACAACATACTTCTAATATTTATATGACTATACCGCTTATCATGTGGAAGGTGGCACAGGAGGATGAAGGGGGTGAGAGGCGGACTACACCCTGAACAGGTCACCAGACTACAGAAAGACAACCATTCCTAGTGGGACCTGACCTGAACTACACCTCTTCTGGGTTCATACTATTTGACCCACTCAAACCCCTGTACTTTTACTTCTGCTTCTCATTAAGCAGACTGCCGGCCATAAACGTGGCAGCTCACCTCATTTTGTTCACAGTTTGACCCTCCGATGGCATGTTGCTTTCCGTTTTGTTGCTGGATCCTCTTCTCCACCATTTTTGGGGGTTTGTCAGGTTCCCTCGTTCTTTGATTCCATGAGGACTCCTCCAGCCTCTTCCCTACAACTCTCCCACCGCCAGCCACTCACTGTTCCTTTTCTTTTCACCAGACACCGGGCTGCCCACTAACTTTTCCTCCTTTCCAGGTACTGGGATACCATTTGTCCTGTCGTTCTGGCCACCTTTTTATTTGACAGTCCCTCCAGGCCCACTGAACAGCCTCATGGGCTTCCCTAGCACCGCATCAGCTGATGACGCAGAGAGACACTCCCCTTCAACTCCACCTACTTCCTCCTTGGTCCTCCGGGCTGACTCCAATGCATAACAACAGCGTCCAGTGATAATCACATCACCAATTCTGCTTCATCTCTCAAAAGGTTATGGGGGTCTGCCAGTGACCAAGAGCAGCGCAGACCTCCTTAGCCTTCCCCAAAACCTTCAAGGTCAGAAACATTCCCTACCCTTATAGTTCCATTCATATTTAAGGGCAGGTCCCTGCTAGTGAACTACAGCTGAATGTCTTTGGACAATGGGGGAAAGAACAGAGAACCTAGAGAAAATCCATGGAGGCACAGAGAGAACATGCCAGCTCCACACAGGAGCT